TTGGAATTTAAAAAATAATGATTCAAGTCTAAAGACACTTTGACAAAAAAGGTTAGAGACTTACATCTTGGTCGATCATTCTGCCAGGAACTAAATCTAGAAGTAAATTCCTACTTCCGTCGCAAATATCCATATCAGTTCTGACCAAAGTCTCTAAGCTGAAAGAAGGGACACATCAATATTACAATATATTTTGTTATGTGATGGGAAAATATAAAAGAAAAATATTAAAAACAGTAAATATTTTATTACCCATCATCTTTCTTGCAAAAGATGTATGTTGCCACTGCCACTTCTTCATCAGTCATGAATGAACTTTGTTTTGGTTGGAACATTCTTGATAAAGACTGCATAATGATGCAGAACTAGATGAGATCATATAATGCATTTGTAAAATTAAGCTACAAGAGTGAATGTTATTATACATACTTGTGGTATGTTGGTTCCTATTAACGTTGCATTGAATTGGGAGTTGATGTAGTAACCTGTTGGTGAACAGGTTGTTGTTAATACCACGTCACACACATTTTTTCCTGAGTTTTTGGAAAACAGTTTCCTTTCCACTCTTTTGCTTGATTCTCCACGATGAAATTTAGGTGGTGTGTGGTGTTGATTAGGGGTGAATGGTAGGATTTGAGGTGGTGTTTGCCATGGGCTTGATTTTTTGTTTTGATCCAGAAAGCTCTCCTTTAAGCCATCCATTGATTGAAGGATGCTGGCAATAGCAGATTCCAATTTGCTTACACGTTCAGCGAGAACCTGCTATCCACAAAAGAATTTCAAAAAAGAAACGAAACCAGAATGTCAAATAGATTTACAAGCTGGAAACAATTAACAGACAACTTTGAACTCTACTAATTTGGAACTCGACATGCAGCAGATACGTGAATATTAACCCGGTAAGGCGGTAATCAATTTATATGAATACAATCACATCACCTAAACCTCAGATAACAAAATACTAATTCTGGTTTAAGAGAATAAGATAACAGTTTAGCTTGAACTTCAGTAGCTTAACAAAAATAAACAACCTGCCTATTGAAATTTAGGGTTAAAGGGTCATGAAGTCCGGGCACCAAATCAAGTTATTCAATTAAGTGAATAAAATTGCTATATAGCCCATTGTATTGTTGAACTACTATAGTTACATAGTACTTATATGTTTAAGCTATGTATTGTGGAACTACTATGCTTACAAATCTGTTTAAAAAGCCAATTATTAAAAATCAAAAAATATTTAGCAATATCTGGAACATTCTTAGCAGTTGGCAGTTGTTTTATATGTATGTGATATATTACCTTTTGATCATCTATCAATAGGAAAAAAACAATAAACTACTTGCCCACTGAAGTTTATTCATATTTTATTAATACAGTTTTAGAATAAACTGATCACTTGGTAATATAACACTGCCATTCAATCTACATATTAAAGCTTCGGTACCTAACTGATGTTATATTAAACTCAGTATAGTATGTTAAATATTTTATCTTTCAAACTGACAGTGATATCTGAACTATATTAAATTCAGCATATGTATTTTATCTTTCTCAACTGTGTATAAGATTAGTTTTTTTGTTTGTTAGGTACACCATTGACCATATTAAAGCATATCATGCACTATACATATTTGTGAATATGCCAGTATGATGTTCACCTCAATTGCATATTATGTTGTTTTATTTTATTTTGTTCGTTCATCATGTTTTCATTTATATTTTTCTTTTATGTTTATACTTCATATAATTCAAGCTTCATTTGTCCAATTCCTAGGTTATTGATTACTGGGAGAAAAGTGACATTCACTGAGTAAGTTTTGTACTCCTTCAAATGTATTTTAAATGCATGCAACTTTTCTTAAAATTTGATATTGTTTATTGTGAATAGCAACTGGTATGTTTGTATTTATACAAGATACATTGTCTGCCGACACATATGTTGGTTTTATGGTTAAATTTAACTTTATGATCACATTATATGTAGTATGATTCTGTTTTACCTTATCAGTTCAGTGACATCGAAAAACAAGTTAGTTTTATGGAACTCCTATTTTACAATAGTAGTTATAAAATTTACATTTTTGGACTCAGGATCAAAAGTAGAAACAAAACTACTGTCATGTACTCAATTTTTCTGATGTTCTCAATTAAAAAAAATGTTTTTAAAAATAATCGGACTGGTGTGAGAAAGTAATTGATTATATGTTTAGTTAAGCTCATTAGATATGAATTAATGTTTGAGTTAATTTCCCAGAATATAGGCCCTGTTATGAGTCTCAATGTTTATGTAAGGCCTTAAAGTGTACTGTGCTCTGTTTCTAGAGTTACTTTTGCTATGTGACATTTTTCATATATACTGATCGAATAAAAGAATCCTCATAAGCAAGGGTAAAGAAATACGGGACAAAAAGATATCATTAGTTAATTAACTCGTTTATTTGGCTTTAAAAAACAAGTAGAAATACCATTAACAAAAGGTGCGTACTTCGGTACCCTGGTAAAATTATGGGTACCATACCCATCCACTAAGGTTAAGACATGTGTCAATTTTTTACAGCAAGGATCTATTTTTGAGTGCTCTCGGTTCTCCTCCTAATTTGCTAATATGTCCCTAAATTATTTGATATCTAATTTGTATTGGTCTTAGTTAAACCTCCGTTAGTCCTTCCGTCAAACCCTATCGTTTTCCCATTTCTCATTCCCATTTCTCAACTATTTTGTTTCATCGTTTCTCTCTATCGCATTTCTGTCTGTTTTGTGTATTGCGATTACGGCGCTGGACAATGAATAATCAGTTGGATATGCTATTGGCGATCTTGACGACGGTGAAGAGGTTTGGTGTCGATAGCAATAGCTGTTTTTTCAGTTTTTCGGTCTCCTATTCGCCAGATGACCTGATGTTCGAGGGAGAGCGGGTGAATTCCGAGTACACATCCTTGGCTTACTTGACGATCGGGGAGACTCCAAAGTCACGTAAATACTCCTTGCCCTTCGAATTGGTGATCAAAATGGGAAGCTTCATGTCAAAGATAGGTAGATGAGTTTGGGTAATTGCTATATCCTCCAAAAATTATTATATGCCCTATTTTGATTGTTGTTTGCCCTATTATTATTTTTGTTCTGTATGCTTTTCCATTGTTAGTGTGAGCTTGAAAAGTTGCTAAAAAATGAGCTTGAAAAGTTGCTAAAAAATGAGCTTGAAAAACTATGGCTCTGTTTAAAAAATGAGCTTCAAAATAGTTGCTCTTCAACTCCAATTTAAGAATCACTCTTGTTTTTTTCAGCCTTAGTGGTCACAAGAAGAAGCATAGTAATGCCACCTGCTGCACTTTCTGGGACAGTAGGTGTTGATGACTTGATTCAGAAACTATTTTACTCTTTTCAAGTATCTTTCCATTACCAATGAGCTTCACATCCTTTATTGTCTTTGGCCCATTTTATTTTTATGTTGATTTCACAGTAATAATCATCACTTCTCAAATCAACTTCAAAGTAAGACACTTTCCAGCAACAAAATTAAAACATACCTAAAAGATAACATTATTGTCAAAAAGCTTGTGATAGTGTAAGAACTACACACCTGAAACAATATTTTTCTGTTTCACTTTTTCGTTTACTAGTTAGGGAAAGTATATCTTACTCTGAATTCTCCGTATATTCTAAGCTTAGTAAGAGTGTGTTGTGGTGTTTTAATCACAACTATATTATAAACTTATCAATGTTTTGAAATTAAGAAAGAGTGTGTTCTGGAACAAACTATTAAAAGAGTAGCTTATAGCAGCCATTCTCGGTGTTTTCAACCATGGTTATACTCTCCAATTCTTCGTTTCTCTGTTTTTTATTCTCTGTGAATACTGCTTCACTCCAGCATTCATTGACTGAGTGGATGTTTACGAAAAAACTGAGTTTTAATTCCTTTAAATGCATCTTTTTTGTTTTGTTTTGCACAACCTTTTTTCCTGCCATTTTTATCCATGTCAATTATGTTTAAACTTATTAACAAGAATATGAATAGATGCAAATAAGATGAGGCTTATTACGATGTCGATGTTCTACTTATAAGATGCAAATAAAGAAGGCAAATAAAATATCAAACGAGTTTGAGTAAAAAAAAACTCACTCCCAAGTCCTAACTATATTCTAAGCTTATTAAGAATGTGTTATGGTGCTTGACAAATTATTAATATCACCATTTCTGCAATCTAATTTAGTTCTTGTTGGTTGGATGCAGACACCAGTGCATACAATTGCCTCTAATGCCAGAGTAGAGGGTGGTGTTGTGGTTGTCATGTTGCTGTAGAAAGATAACCCTGATCTTGGATATGCTGCTAAAGGTATATAACTATATACTACGTATGTCTATGTATTTGTGACTTTGTGTGTATAAATATATTCTCTTGAATCCCACCCACCATCAATTTACAAATGATTTAGATAAATGAATAATGATTCCTAATCCACCCTATAGAAGTCCATTGATTCAGTCAGTTTAGAGTTCTTCTATTTGAAATTGATGAGGTTCAAACTTAGAGTCCACCACGCGATAGACATTTTTCAGTTAGTCCTTATGGTTGAGACTTAGTATGTCATTTATGACTTTCATTTTTGTCATTCTCATGGCTTGTAATGTTTATGATTCTGAATTGGTCACTGTGAGTGTGAACTGTGAAGGCTGTACACTAAATCACCATCAATTTACAAATGATTTAGATAAATGAATAATGATTCCTAATCCACCCTATAGAAGTCCATTGATTCAGTCAGTTTAGAGTTCTTCTATTTGAAATTGATGAGGTTCAAACTTAGAGTCCACCACGCGATAGACATTTTTCAGTTAGTCCTTATGGTTGAGACTTAGTATGTCATTTATGACTTTCATTTTTGTCATTCTCATGGCTTGTAATGTTTATGATTCTGAATTGGTCACTGTGAGTGTGAACTGTGAAGGCTCTACCAAAAGGATTAGTAGAGCTGGCAGATCTTAATTCAATCCCACAACTACCTGATACCAAGGATACTAGAACTCTAGTGATGGTGTAATCTAATTGGGATACTAGTTTCTATTTGAATTATTTAGACACACCACATGTTCCACACTATACACTTGATACCAGAAAAACTAACAGGAATAAACAGTTCACTAGGCAGCATGCAATCCAGCTTCCTCTGTTTTAACCACTCTTTCAGGCAATATGTTCTCTAATGCCTACCTCAAATTTATGAATAAACGGCTATGCAAACTCTGTATATTGGCAATAGTGTTTCTCTAAACCAATCTAGACTTCAGTGAAGCTTTGAGGTATACATTGAGCACAGGGATTGTATAATTAATTCATGATGTGTGGTAGAGAAAACAAATGGTGTTCATGCTATATATTAATATATAGAATAAACAAAATTCACAATAAGAAATTGCATGTGGTTTACAAGCTGCTCTATATAACTTGTTACATGCCGCAGAGATAGCACCAGACCTCAACATGTCCAAGTTGGATAATTCAGAATCGTCACCATTACCATCAATTGAGGACATGGAATCAAGTTTAGCTTTTTTTGTCCATCTTTGGCAAATAAGACTACTCGGAACTGAATCAATATTTTCATGCCTCATAGCGCAAAATATGTGTGCACAAGGAATACCATGAGACTCGTACAATCGACAATCACACGCAAAATTACAGCCACCCTTATCATACATAACAAGGAACTCGGTGTCTGGACTGCCGAATTTATTCATTCTGAAACATGTATTATCACCACCATGCTCAACCCTTTCAACTAAATTAAGTCTAGCAACATTCTCAATCTGTTTCCTAACCTCACAAAATTTATTCCTTGTAAAGACTTGTGAAGCCCACGACTCATAGACATGTAGAGGAGTGGTCAACAGAGGGTCAGTATACAAGGATTTAAAATCAGAAATTAATTCATTATGTCTATACTCTTTTACGGCTCTTTCAAAATTATGCATAAAATCAACAAGGCTGTTTTTGTTCTGCACATACCGCTTAATGAATGAATTAATTCCTTCACAGATGGACGTTGTCCGAATACCGGCAAAAAACTTGTCACGCATATATGCACTTGCCCACATCGTCTTCATGTCATAAACTTTCTTAACCCAATTATTGTTTGCAACTCCATGTTCATCAATGGTCTTCTTCCACCTGCTTTCAAAATCATCAGGGCTAAAGTTACCATAAATTAGAGGATTAAGATCTTCTAGAAAACGTGAGTTCTTAACATTATCGCATGCATTTTTGTGAAGATGCCAAGCACAAAGCCTATGAAAGGAGCTCGGAAGCACTGCCCTAATCGCTTCACGCATCGCACCATCTCCGTCAGTGACAACTGCCTTAGGATGTTTACCAAACATGCATTCACAAAAAGTTTCCAGAACCCACTTGTACGTTTCTGTCTTCTCATCGGATACTAAGGCACACGCAAAGATAACTGTTTCGCCGTGATGATTGTACCCAGAAAAAACAACCAAAGGCTTGTTATACTTGTTCTTTTTGTACGTAGTGTCAAAAGCAACAACATCTCCAAAGCAATGGTAATCAAGCCTGCTTACACCATCCGACCAAAACAAGTTATCGAGCCTCCCCTCTTCTGTGGTTGTGAACTTGGAAAACATAAAACTATCACTGTCTGCTTTGGCTTGGAGATAAGATAATGCAGCAAATGCATCGCCATCATTTATCTTAGCTCTCTTTTGCTGATCAATGTAATTGTACAAATCCTTCTTGCAGAACCCAACATCGGCATGCCCACCCTTTTGACCAATAATCAGCCCCATGATGTGACAAGTTCTAACTCCATGCAACCGTAAACTATCTACCTGTGCTTTAATGCCGTCACTAATGCTTCTGTAAGCTGGCATTAAATGGACATACTGTGATGGGGTCATCTCATGGTTGTGAGTATCCTCGAAATCAACAATCATCCACTTTCTTGTATGGTTATCGAACTCTGCGCGAAGTCGTGCCATACAGTTGGTACGCGTGATAGGCTTTGGCTCCCTAACACGATCGTTCCTTTCCATGTGCTTCTTACTTCTCAATCCTGCCCGATTGCAAACCAAATTTCTCATTATAATATTATTATTTGACTCACGACGCACATCATCTCTTCTGACACAAAAGCCATTAATTTGGGCATAACAAGAATAAAAGGCATAAACATCATCCTCAGAGTCAAATTCGAGTCTCTTAATATCAGCAGGTGTCAAATCGGAAATTTTTTTATAGCCCTCTGCTGATTGCCCTTCACCATCAAAATTACTTCCATCATTCAGACTTTTACCAACCTCTTCATTATAATTGACTTGAACTTCTTGACAATGCTCTGACATTTTTGAATGACTGGAAGAAGGTCCTGTAGAAGAAAAATATGATTCATTATAAAAATAAAAACAAAATCTATAATAAGACCGCTGATTCATACTCTGAAATATAAGATTTAAAAAAGGAAGCATTGGGTGACTAAGTATAAGAAATAAGGAAGTGATAACTTAAAAGAAACAAGATTTTCAAGTCTATACGTCTCACTAACTTGTGCAGGTCATTGAATTTAATTTGCTGAAAATATACTAGTTGAAACATATTTTCGAAATTATGAACATACTAATAATGTTTGCAAGACAAGATGGTAATTTAAATGCTAATTATAAGGACAGATGATCAAGTCCTTTTACTAATACAGGATGCTAAACGGAATGTTGTATACAAGATACAAGTGGAAAGATCACAAATGCTTTGCACAAGGGCTTAGAAAGTTCTGATTGGAATGCGGTCTATATCTTAAACATATGTAGAATTGATCCTTCAAATTAGCTTAATTTCTTTCTTTTTTTATTATACCACGTACGGTTGGAGCAGATTGGGAGTGTCAAAGGGTTTATTCAGCATCTATTTGTTTTCTTAGTTCCTAGGAAATAGGAATCTGTATTATATTCTAAATTGTATGAAAGAGAATATTTGTAGGACTTGGTTCATTTGTGACCATTGTGATTATCATATACTCCATACATGGTAAAATTGTCAACAGAAGGCATATGACAATAATTAACATAATTGTCATATCCAAGATTTCTACTTTACATAATTTAACATTGCTCTTGAGTTGGACAATATTAAGCCATATTAAACAGTTTATAAATATTTTTCAAGTTTAGCACTACATGTGGTTGCCTCTCTATTGGTTTTTTAGCAAGAAAAAACATGGTATTAAACTGTTTTGTTTAATTATGAGCATTATTACTCACTATAAGCTGTTAGTGATGGTATATGCTCTGTAAAGATTCATTTTTTCCCTCAAATGTACTGATGATTGATCACCATTTATTCACCTTCTTGTTGATGTCATACATACAAACAAACCTAACAATATACTACCACAAAAAAATATAATCTTATATAAAATGAGAAAGATTTAATTAGGTTGATTTCAAATCTTAGATCAGACCATAGCTGAATTGTATAGACTAGACCATACAAGATTTACAAAGATTGGTCTGACCCCGATGTGCAGGTTTTCACTTTAAGAGAGCCTCTAAGAACATTCATCCAAATAAGCTTTTGTTTTCTGTGTGAAATCAACATATTTTTCTGTGTCAATTGTGAGTCCTATGAGCAGTATAGTAAAACATTGCTCAAAGAAAGGGAGCTTTGAGCAACATAGTAAAAGATGAGATAAATCTAGGTAGAACCGTCCTCATAGCGTTAGGGAACACTCATCCATTGTGCCTTTAAGAGAGGAATCTTTATTTAAATGGTATCATGCTCTCTAGATCAGTATTTAAATTCTCACTTTATAGTTTCATGTTCTCATTAACAGAAGTAGCTGAAAACACGTGTCTTAGTAGCAGCAAAGTTTCAGCCATTCTCATACAGGCTTTCCTCACAATTTTTAAGCTTTTTATTTTTCCCATTCTAGGTACACAACTATTCCTAGACTCACGCATTAGACTCTGCTACTTCTACCCGAAACAAAGAGCTTCACATTTTTTCACCTCAAAGTCTTGAAAAAGGAATATCTGGTATTAGGATTCCAGCCAACTTTTTCAAAAATTTTAAAAGAACTCAAAGACTTCACAAAGGCTAAGTCTGGGGTCTTTGAGTATAATCATGTGACTGAGTAAAAAATCAAGGTTTAATATATACTTCTAAATCAAAGCATTACTATACTAATTAAAAAAAGTTTATCTTTCTTTTTAACATAAACATAAGTATCTGCTAATCTACTAATAGTCTAAAACCAGAAAGAATTCTATCAAGAACTGAAAAAATAGTTCTATAAAATAATTATCAGAAAAAAGAAAAAAATGCTAACTACAACCAGCATTCAATTACGAAGAAATAAGCAATTGCAGCTTATCAAGCAAAACCAAAAGAAAAACAAAATCCCTTCTGCCAAAACAGAAAATAAACAAAACCAGAAGCGGAAAAAATGCTTACTTCACACAGAAATCAAAAGCTTAATTGGACAAATAAGTTCTGAGAACAAGAGCTTGTAAGAAAATCCCCCCACATGTTTGTCAAGAGAATCCCTAAATTAGATGTGATGAATAAACCAAGTATATGCCGAATTTCTTAGAATTTTATCAAGTTTACCTTCCAATGCTGGAAAATCCCAAATGATTTGGCTAATTCGTGGAGACCGTGAACGGCAGCCAGGGAGCTAAGGAAACTTCTCGCGGTGAAGATTATGCTCCGGCAGCCAGGGAGCGAAGGAAATAGCGTTGTATCGTCGATTGCAATGGAGAGAATAAGCCGCCGTTTGGTTGCGGTGGATAGTAGCTAGGCAACGACCGTACTTGAACTCTGGAACGGCTGTTGGTTGAGAGAAGAAACCGAGGTATAGGTTGCGGTAGATGGTAGGTAAACTGGAACGGCTGGAACTCTGGAAGGGCTAATTGACCTCCGTTAACGTTAAAAGTTTAAGTTTATCACATAAGGACCAAAGTGCAAACTTTGTTTCTTAAATAGAATGCTCCGTCACAATATTACTTATCCACATGTCAATTATTTATTTGACCACATAAGCAGGGCACGGTACCCCAAAAAATAAGTTGGGCACCGTAGAAACCACCTAATTCAAATTATTTTGAATAAACTACAATAATGGCAATTAATACGGAGAGTTCATTGCATGTGGATGATTCGGTGGAAAGCCATGCATGTGCCATGCATGCGTACATCCGAGACTTTGGGAGGCCATGCATGTGCCATGCATACGTGTGTTAACAGGTAGCATGAAAATCGGCTGTTTTGGTTGATTCAGCTGAAATTTATGAAGTTCTGGCCGAAGTGGCTGCAATGGCTGATTCTGTTGATTTAAGAAAAAAAATATTTTTAAAATATATTTTATTAATAAAATAAAGTAAAATTATATGTAAAAATAGCTAAAATGACCATCTACAATAACTTCAGCCAAAACAGTCAGAAATGTAACTCCAACCTTACTTTTTCTGCTTATTACATAATTCAGCGCGCCAAAGCAAAAGTTATGTGTTTGGTGAAAAAGTTGGCCGATAAGCCTGATAAGTCGAAAAACAGTAGTTCCAAACGGCCTCTTAATATAGAGCATGTTCACAAAGTTTTATAAAAAAAAAGTAGCCCTCGGAGCACCTTAACTGAAAGAGGCTTAAAATTGTAATTTTTAAGTTTACCTTATATGTAAGGTCTAGTTTCAATAAAAACTAGTCTCAAAATACAAAATGCAACCGTCTCCAATTAAGTATCTGAGTTGCACAAATTGCATTCCGTTGTTCACTTTTGATCCTTTATGGTACACTATTGCACGCTGCAAGTCCAATTTTTGCTAATAAGAAAAACTTCAATTTATTTACGAAAAATGTCACCGCGGTTTTCATCCATTTTCACGTATTTTTGACATATTTAGAGCCATTAGACCATAAATTTGATGTATATATCTATATGTGTGTAATTGTGTGTGTGGGGTCCGGTTCTGGTGATAAAACTTCTTGACGTGAGAAATTGAATGAGAACACTCCAAAACGAGCACATTATCAAAAATGCACATTTATATTTTAGAAAATGTAAAATTTAAATTGCATATTTATGTTTACACTTTTGCACATTTGAAATGCACATTTTCCAGTTTTTTGTATGCGCATTTCTATATTACATGATGCACGACGCCCAATGGTGGATCCAGCAAACAATCTATTCGGGGCATAGCAACAATAACGTACATGATGAAAATTATACTATGCAGTACTTTATACAAACTATAATATACCCGACAAGCAAAAAAAAGTGTAACAAAGTATACGAGAGTGACCAAATTAAATAATGTATACCACCTCTGTTCTTCAATAATAGCAACTTGTTGAATTTTACATTATTCACATGTTCTACTTTGACTATGTTGAGGTTTATTCCTTCAATACGGGTGCCCAACACGTAACCCAAAGATTTCGAGTGGAGAGTATGAAAATACGAAGTGTAAGCAAGTAAAGATGGGCTTTTGTTTCTGTAGCAATGGGATGTATCTTATTAATTGATAATAAGAGTCCGTAGTGGCGGACCCAGAAAAACATAGCCACGGGGGTCCCTAGTATAACATTTTTAATTAGTATAAATTAATTAAACAAAATAAAATGTTAAAGAAGCATAACGTTTTATAATTCGTACATCATAAAAAAAATTAGATAATGTAGAGCAAAAAATTAAATATAAAAGGGAAATCATGATTGCGAGGTTGAAACTGCCCTTTTTTAAGGTAACTACAGCGTAACTTTTATTGAAAATTAGGATGAAAATCAGCAATTTTTTTCTCAATCCAGGATCAGCTTCCAAAGATGCAACATGTTGTTTATGTAGATTCAAATTAGCTTCACTTTCAGCAATTACTTAATCTAATTCTTCATTTACTAGTAGCGAATCATTTGAATTAACATCTGAATTACTTCCTGTATTGCGAATTTCCTTTAATCTATGACCTAGATTAAAGGAATCATTTACATATACGAAAAGGCATCCACATTTACTTGCCTTAAATGATACTCCCTCCGTCACTTAAAACTTTGCCAACTTTCCTTTTTTGGTTGTCCCAATAACTTTGCCACTTTCTATTTTAAGTAAAGAATTTGTGGTTCCATTTAATTCTCTCTCCTCTGCACAAACCTCAACCACACAGTTTTTACTTTATTAATCTCCGTGTCGGTCAAACTTGGCAAAGTTTCAAGGGACGGAGGTAGTAGATACCTACGTAGGGTGATGATTTTTTATTGCTAAATATGGTTGTAATGAACCGTCAGTTAGGAGTCAATGACAACAAAAACCAAACAGTGCGAATCAAAAAATAAAAGCAAAATGACAGTAAAGCCGTGGAAAGTAAACTGAAAAGTTAGGAGTCCAAACGACCTCCCAAAGCAGTAGAACGCTTCAAACATCGTGGCGGGTATCGATATCCGAACCCGCCTCCTCCCCGTTTTTGGATCATCTAGGGCCATCTGCTCCCCTCACCCCCCCGCCTCCTGCCGCTTCCCAAGTCTGCCTGCGCTTTGCTTCCCCAGGAGCCCCCTCCCCAAGTGCGTGGCTACTTGCTTCCATCCGTTCCTTGCCACTCGTACCAGAGAAAGTGCCTCCACCCTCCTGCTTGGTCCTGCGATCCCTCACCTTTCCGAGCTTTTCCTTCCGGGACTAGCCATTTGTTTCCCCCACGTGACTGATAAACCCCCCCTCCTCCTGCTCGCAGATGAGCTCCATATTTCTTTGGTACCTCCAGTTTGGTATTCTCATAAGCCAAAGGACAAAACCTGTCAGCATGCCCAATAATACCACAAACAAAGCAAAAACTAGACAATTTTTGTATTTGAAATCAACCCAGTGACCCTCTCGTTGTCCCTTCCGGAGGGTCGTACCCACCTTCAAAGGCTTCCCCACGTCAAGGCAAGCACGGACTCTAATATAAGGTCTCCATTTCTTGTCAAACTGACTTTTGTCAAAATTAACAAAAGTACCCAGAAAGTTCCCAATTCTTCGGGCCGCACCTAAATTCATATAATCATATTGAACATCATGTACGTGGACCCAAAACTAAACGTCGTTCAAAGGAACCCTCAGGGGAACATCCCCTGGCTTAAGCTCCCCATGAATTAACAGATTCTGCTCGAATATCCCCGGACCACTTTCTAACACACGTTTCATATCAAAAATATGGTAGAAAGTGAAAATATACTTGTTATCGCTAATCTCTTTTATCTCTTTTATGGTAATACCTTTCACAGGCTTCCATAGTTTAGCCATGAGATCTCTAAAGACTAAAAATTTCACCAATTTGTCTGTGGTTACGGTGCCCACCACCAAGAATGACTCTCCATCAGCCGCGGACTCCTCCTCTTGAGTAATCTCTTCATAAAAAACGATCTCATCCTCCCTATCCCCAAGTACCATGTCCTTAGCCTTCGTGCAAAAACAGAAGCAACAAAAGAACCAAAATCGAGATTGAAAAGCTTCGTCTCCGTACTCCTGCAGCGCCTGTCGATCAAAGAATAGAACAAAAACAAGGACAAAGAGGAGCCCTCCTCCCTGCCGAACCCAAACAACCACACACCAACCGAGAAGAACTCGGAAGCCACAATCGGAAGACTATCGACCTATGCGGCGGCAATCTCCGAACCCTAATTTAATAATTAATCTAAAAACGAATTTTGCAAAGGTCACTCGAGTGAGTGGAGTCCCGTTTGGTCTGAAATGGGAGAGGCAGTAGCGAATTAGCTATGGATGGCTGGATGTTGTGGTCTGTTACTAGTAAGTTAAAAAAAAATAAAAAAAAAAGGTGAAGTGGATGAAATCGATCCCGGAACCACTGCTTCAAGGTGTGTTTCAGACGCGCGCATGCTACCGTTGCACTGATTTTGTCATATAGTTATTCTATAGCTTTTTTATTTATATATACATTTAGACATTATTTTTTATATAAAATATACGGAGTATATAATATATATAGGTATTTTTGGAAGTCCATAGGGTCCCGGGACCCCGTGGAACCCTTAGTGGGTCCGCCACTAAGAGTCCGTATACAACACACCTAAGCTACCTGGTCTGAGGCTAAAGTGCTAGGGAGAATAAGTTGTCAACCCTTTACAATAAATTAAATGTTACTATTTATACCACCAAGGAGTAGGTAGATGCGCTGACATGGAGGGCTGTAGATGGCTAAGCTTCCAACCACCAAATCTTCAACATTACATGCGCCTCCCGCCAATATCTTAGTTTCCCGCCAAGGCTTGGGGACGAACGTCTTCACAGTCCTCAGCCTTCTCTCGGCAATGGAACAAGGGGTAGGAGCCGAGCGCCTTCTGCGTAATCATATGGTTATGGATGTTGAAGTGCATTAGGTGGTCGTAATGGCTAAGGCCCCAAGGGCCGACCGTCCTCTAATGAGACGAACGTCGTGCAGTGCCCTGGGCTGCTGTGATCAACTGTCCGGGCTGCTGTGGTCAACTGTCCCTGGTGGATCGCGAAACCTGTGGACGAGCGTATTGGGCTTTCCACTTGTTGGGCCTTGACGCTCTTTGTTAAAGGGGGTAATGGGCCGACCCTGTGTTGGGCCATTAATTCAACAGACTATATTTTTTTTAATGTTTTATCGAATTAATTTGTGAAACCACCATTAAATTTGTCTTGTCGTAAATTTCCGAAATCTGATTTTTTTAATTCTTTTACTCATAGAGAATTAAATATATTAATGGTCAAAGTTATGCATCGACAAACGTCAAAAGAGAAGTGTTACAATTAAAAGAGAACGAATGGAGCATTACTGTATAAAAAAACATAAAAAAGTAAATCACAGCTGCTCTATTTGAGTTTTCATTTTTGAAAGAGATGTTTTTTTTTCCCGGAGTGAACCACACGTGGTGGCGGGAGTGCCGGGGAACACTACCCAAATTTATTAAGAAAAGTTGAGGTTA